ATTGCAGGCACACGTCATTCAACAGCCATCCATCAAACAGAATAATATAGAACTATAGGGCTGAAACACTTCTACAGCAGAGACTGTTACCATTATCACCACTTGACAGGCATGGAGCAGAGGTAGGGAGGTAAGAAGTGCTTTGCCTAAAGACTTCCAGCCAACCAGCAACCCAGCTAACCCCAGTACCCAAAACAATCTGATGCAATTTACTTGCTGTAGATTAAAGGAATACAAAGAAATACATGCCTCTTAAATGTTTGTACCTAGTCTCCTGGAGTGGTAATAGGTTGCTGTGATATTGATGTTGCTGGGCTGCATGAACAAACTTCAGTGCTGCTTCTGCCCATGCTTATGCTGATTCTCTATCTACAAAGCAGACTTCAGCTCCTCTTGATTGTCAAGTTGGCAACCTTCTGTCAAGTTGGCACCCTTCAGGAGCAGTAAATACAACGTGGAAAAAAAGTATTTGAGGCAAAGAAAGGAGCTGTCTGTAGTAACATGGCAGAAAAAAGAAACCACATTAGATGAAATTATTCACACCGCTGGCATTACTGGAAATGTATAGCAAGATAAATATGTGGAAAGTGTTGGCAAAGAAGAGCAATAGACATTACTTATTTTATTTGGTTTATTTTTCAGAAATGTATTTTCCAGAAAATGTAGAATCATTTAAACCAGAAAATCCAGCTGTGAAAAATTGCAGGATTACCTGGCATTGTGATGGGTGATTTTTCTAAGTGAATCTCAAAGCTTCAGGTGATGTCTGGAGATTATGAGATCTAGCAGACATAAAATGTAGGCCAAGGGCATTCCTATTAACTGTCATGCAGAATATGTTGCAGTACTTTTAGCAAATTTTCGATACACAGTGTTTAAATTGTGCATAGAAACCAGTACTTTTCAAAGTGTCAAACTGAGGTACTTGTTATTAATTGACTTGTAATTCATTGACATTAATAACATTTTGAGATGCTTTAACATTTTTTTTTTAAAGATACATAATAAATGTGCACTTTCCTCAAACATATATTAATTAATAAAAATATATTAATTTTTATTAGAATGGAACAGAAGAGTTTAGTTTACAGAGGGGGAGAAAGAAGGTAAATTTGGCAAAGAACATCTTCATAAATACAGTGAAAGCTTTGTGTATTCATTTGAAAATAAAGGCTGTTTTTAGTTGGAACATAAGAGGGAGGGAATCAAAACAGACATCTTTTCAACATCCTTTAGAGCAAGCCCAGATCACTACATTTCTAGTTAGAGATATGAGATGTCTGTTCAACAAAGTTAGAAGGAAAAGAGCTAAGCGTTTGTGGAATTTTAAGAACATGCTCATGTGATGCCCGTATAGGAATGTTTTTATTAGTTTAGGAACTCATTTTATACTTCAGAAAATTTACCTTAAAAATCATAGCAAAAATAATTAACATTAGCTATTAATTTCTTTGGAAGCATTAGTTCTGTGCAATTGTCTGAAACATCAAGAACTCTTTGGCTTGGGCAGCTAAAGATCATGTCCATGTCAGTATCTTTAGGTGATTTCTTGAAGTGACTCATGTAAAATATTTTTATGGTTTGCCTTTTTTGTTGTTGTTGTAAAGAAATAATTGAACAAAAGTACAAACAAAAGTACAAACAAAAGAACAGAAGTAATTGTTTGAGTACTCTGCTTGCAGTAAAAAAGTTCTTTAAGGAGTTCTTACTTAAGTGACTATTCTATTGACTAACTTCACAAGCTTAGAGATGCTTAAAAGTCCTTCAAGTCACATGTTTCTATGCAAATATTTTCAGTTCTGGGAAAGATGATTGCTCACAATTTGTGCTTGGTGGATGAGTCTTTTTAGTGTTAAATGGCATGCTTTCTAATCAGAAGAACAAGGGAGTTACCAAACTTTCTAAAGACTTCCAATTGGAAGAATCAAGAAAACTCCTAACTATTAAGAGGAGATGGATTTTATATTAAAAAAAAAAAAAAAAGAAAGAAAGAAAAAAAAAAGGTTTTATAATGTGTTATATAAGAGAAAAATGTGAAATATCTGAGAACTGAAATGAAGGATTTTGCCATTTCTTTGCAGTGATATGTTCCCATTCTAGAACAGTTAGCAGAGCTTTGTGATAAAACTGCCAGAAATCAGTCCCAGTAGATACTGGATATTCTGTAAATATTAACTACTCAAATGACTTTTCGGAAGAAGTTACGGCTGTGGATTACAGTGTATTGACTTCATCTGGACTTAATGCACAACCATTAGCTTTGGAGATAGTGACTGACATTCAACTAGGATGCAGCTTGAACTGTTTGTCCAGTACCTGTTGCTGAGTTCTAATGGACAGCTGAAAAGAAAAATCTTAATAAAGTTACATTGGTGATCTCAGTGGAAGGAGAAAAGAAGGCTAGTATAAGCTTTACTTTTGCATGTGCTGTAAACACAGAATGAGTTGCATAAATACTAAACTCTAGAGCCATAAACTTTATAAGCAGTTCTGGGAAAAAAAAAGTGTATTTTCATCTTTCTTTCTTTTTTTTTTTTATTCTTTTTTTTTCCTTTTTTTTTTTTAATATTTTTTTTTCTAATTGAAGTCTCTTGTGTGGCTTTTTAGATCATTCCATACATCTTGCATCATTCTAATTAAAAAAAAAATTAAGAAAAAAAGAATTTCTAAAGCAATCTTGTCATTTAATGTGCATACTTCATTCATATATATACAGTTTGAGTTCTTCATGCCTCTAGTTGTATTTAATTAAAAAATGTCCAACTTTTCCTGAGTTTTGGAAAAGTTTCTGTCTCAAATAGGACCTATTTTTCTGTTATGTTTCAGTTTTGCAACCCATATTACTCAAGCTTCATGAAGAATATGCATGCAAAACCGTTTCTGAAATAACTTTAGTTATGTATTGACTCAAAATAAAGAAAATCTTGTTTGTTTGTTTGTTTGTTTGTTTTTCAATATAGGTTGCTATAAGAATACCAGGATTCCTTTGTTCGTTTTGTTTAAATATAAAAATATGAAATTGTGGTTATTAAAAACATTATTAAAAACATTAATTCTATATTTACAGTCTCAAGTTAATAAGAGAAGCAAGAGTGACATAAAAAGTTTTTTGAACCTCTTCCTGATTTTCTAGCTCAAATAGATAAGTTATTTTGAACCACAGCTGTTTATGAATGAGTGACTAAGGGTTTGCTAATGCACAAGAGGCGAATTAGGAAGGAAGGCAAGAACTGTGAGAGAGAAGAAGCTGCTGAAAAGCTCACAAAATAAATAGATGTGGAGCTACAATAGAATCCAAACAGCTTTCTGCAGTGCCAAAAGCTGAAAATACCAAATATTTTGGATGACAACTGATTTAATTACATTTCTGGAAAAAGGCATAGTGAACCTCTGGACTGATACATCTGTGTGCTGAGTTGATGTAAACTCTTGATTCTTGGTATTTTGTAGCTTTACAAAGAGCAGTCTACCTTACATACAGATAGTTTAAATGATAAGTTCTAATTATCAGATAATATGCAATCAATAAGAGATTTCATCATTGCAGTCGCTATGGTCATTTGGCACAGGCTGCACATTGTTAATATAGTCAGATTAAAATAGCACACAACACTTTCAGATCCCAGGAGAGGGGTACAAGCAGGTGATAGGCAATAATTGAGTTAACTGGAATAGATAAAATCAGATGAAACCTACTTCCAAGTGCACTGTGATTGTGTCTTCATCCAAGAGGCATATCAAATGGGAAAAGCCCAGCAACCAAGAGGCAAGTGAAAGCACATCCAGTTATTTATTTGTTTCTGAGTGAGAGGGAATAATCACAAGGCAACAATTTATTTCTTTATACATTTCTTTTTGAGAGCATTTGGAGTTCTGAAGAAAACACACAAATAATTAGCATACGTGTTATGAAGACAAGTGCTGCAAAAATCTATTTCAAGGAGGTTTCTCATCAGTCTTTTTTACTAGAATACTATTTTAGCTAGTTTCAGACACTAATTATATTCTCTTTAATTTATAATCCTTCCCTTCTGCATCCAACTTGCTCATAGCAGTCTAATGCCAGACCAGCCCTAAGGGCAGCAAAGATATTTGTTTTCCCTCTTGGAACCCACAATCAGGCTCTTGGCATTAGTGGCTATGTCATACCAAGTTAATTAATAATATCAAACACATAATTTTGCATCCTCTGTACTGAGAGGAGAACTAAATCCAGAAAAAAAAATAATAATAAAAAAGAATATTTTTTACTTTGAGTTTTTCTTCTTTTGTCTAAGTCTTTATTGCTCTTTGGTTTTCTTCCTTATGCAATCAGTATTGAGAAAAACAGCTATAAATTATTATGGTTATAGTTATTTGTAGGGCTCTCAAACAGTGAAGAGCTGGAAGTTGCTTGAAAGCTTCTGTTTGAAAACATAGTGCTGTAAGTTTTGTCACTCAAGACTTTGGTATTACTCCTAAGAGTCAGAGATAGAATTTTATTTTGACAGATACAAAACAGGTCTTATGATACATTCTGAAAAGACAAATCTCAGGATTTTGCAGGCATTTTCACATACCTCCAGGCACAGATTTCTCAAGTAGTGCCAGACACAGCAGTGTTGCAATGCTCTGACAATATAAACAGTCATGGGCAGTTGGCACAAAGTCATTCCGTTCATTTACAAGATATTCAGAAGGGGGAGCATTAAGATTATTTTTAATACTCACGTAGATGCTTACATTTCTGAAAATGATAATTCTCTATTTTAAAGTCAACATGTTTGCTGATATGGCTTAAATTACATAACTGTATAATACTTTCTCCATTTTATTATTGTGTGCTTATGAACAAGTGAGGAATTACCAACTCTAGAATACTTAAAATTCCTATATATATTCATATATATACACATATATGTGTGTGTATATATATATAGGTAGATATATATATATAAAATTGAGAAGTTTCAATGGTGAAAGTGTAATTATGTCTTCTCCTCTTTTTTTGAACCATTTAGATATCAACATGAATCAATTCCAAGTCCACTGGTTACTGGAGTCCTGTGCACACAATGACACCAAGGGACTTGGGAAAGTAACTGAGCTGACTTATGTAAGTCTCCATTAAGACTTGTGCTTGACTCTGAATAGTTTCTAAACAGCAAGTGAAAGGATAGTTCTGTAACATAACACAGTATGTTTCATACTATATTTCACATATTAGTAATCATAGAATGACTTGGGTTGGAAGGGACCTTAAAGACCATCCAGTTCTAACCCCCCCACCAGGGACATACCTTCCAATACATCAGGTTGCACAGGGACTCGTCTTGAAAGACCAAACTGGTCTTGAATTACTGTAGGGATGGGGTATCCACAGTTTCTCTGGGCAAGCTGTTCCAGTGCTTCACCACCCTCTGAGTAAAGAATCAGTAAGAATAAGTAAGAATGCTTCTTTTTTACTTTCTTCTTATGCAAAAGATAGAAATTATGCACCTGGAGTATTGTTTTATGTCTGTTTGTTTGTTTTGTTGTTGTTGTCTTAAATCCAAGCTAAGCTAAAATCATAATACTTTGTTGGTGTTATTCGGAAAACAAGAGCAGACAAATTTATAGCTAAGTACCTATATATTTCTACAGCATATAGAACACAGGGCTTGATTTATAATTAGAACTGTAAGACTCTATCAAAGTGTAAATACTGACAAGTAATAATAGTAATTAATAAGATAGGTTTCCTTTTAGACATGCGGGTATGTTTCACAACCCTGAGGAGAATAATAGAATTAGAAAAACAGAACAATAGTTGAAAAATACTAGAAATTAAATCTGAAAGTTGCACAGATATCAGATAAGGAGAAAAGATACATGTAAGGACGTCAGATCAAATATATGTTACAGTTTCAGTTCTTCGTACTTACATTGTTGGTAATCTGGTATCATCTAGACATCATATTGTATCTGCAAGACATTATTTGAAAAATACAATACTGTGATGAGTGCATCACAATTGATTTAGTGGGTTATGTTGAATGGAATAAAACATAATTCACCTGTACTTCTTACCATGAACTTTACTACCAGATCAATTCAATGGAGTTAATGGCATGTAAAAGTAGAGTAAATCATAAGAAATAATTTCTCACGCAAGAAGCTGTTAGCTTGTAAGATTTATTACTTCATGGGGTTAGCAAAGCAAATATTAGCAGTGAATTAAAAAATGATTGTAATATAATGTTACAATCAATCAGTGTCAATATTTCAAGGTATGTTCATGAAGATAGGAGAAAGTTTATATTTAATAAGTTTAGTTCCACCTGAGGTCAAGATAGATTCTTCGTACATCTGGCCAACACGTTGTGGGATTGGTTCATTTATTTATTTATATCAGTCATTTTACAGCAATATGTTCAATCTACTTTGTGAAACTGTGTGTTTCTTTTCAGGGCTCATTTTTATTACAAACTCTCAGAAGAAGACTGATGCTACAAAGGGTTTGATAGTCAATATAATTGTTCAAGATGTATAAAGGCCTTAGGCTTTGAGTGTTGAGCATTTAGTTTCTGGTCCATGGTTTTATGGACATTGCAATTAGAACATTTGCTATTCTCAGAGTGTACTTTGAGATGCATATGAAGCCTCCTAAAATCCAGCCCAAACTCCACATTACGAACAGGTATCTGTTTTAATGAGTGAATGGGAAACATTGGCTACAGGAAATAGCCTGAAATCTTGCCTAAATATACTATCATCTTTAAAAAAGAGTCAATTTACAGTCATTAATAAAATAAAGGAACAGTTTTGTTTGTCTGTTTTGTTTTTCTTAAAAAACAAAACAAAACAATACAGTTAACATTTAAGTAGGAATCAAACCTGTTATAATACTCTCACAGCAGGTGGAAGATGGAGAATCAAGTCCTTTCTGAGCCCAACCTCTGTATCCTATTGGAAATGACCTTCAAAGAGAAGTTTTGACTAACTTGGCTTGGGATTCACTTCCAAAAAAACAGGGAGTTGTGTAGAAAAAACTTGGAGACTAGTGATCCTGAAGTGAAAGAAAGAAAGATCTAAAAGGCAGTGAAAGACTTGGGACCTTAGCCAGAAAGGTATTATTGGACATTCTCCCAGAAAAAAAAAATGTATATATATAAATAAAGCGAACAAACAAAAAACACTTTTTTTTTTTTTCCTCATAATTTGATTTGTGCTAAAGCTTTCAGGCTGTGATATTCAAATATACTTTAGACAACATTTTAAGTTAAAAGGACACTTACACTTTGTGTAAAGTTTTTTCAGTCACTGTCTTTAAAACAGCTGTGGAGTTTATCTTCTTGATAATAAGATAGAAGTAGTTAATGTACTAAAGGGGAAAAAAAAAAGTGCATCTATAATGCCACACCGACTTTGAATGCACTTTAAAAAAGTTAAATATAGATGAAGCCTGTCATTTACAGCAACTTAACTCATCTTTCTTACATTTATTTAATTCAATTAGCATTTACATCCTCACATTGCTACCCTCACTGCCATCATGTCAGAGACTGTTCTTAATGTTAGATGCTAGTTTCTTTGATAGAGCATGGTGAAGGAACTGCATAGAAAGGAAAGGCATGTTGAAATGCCATGCTAATGTATTTTACTACTTAAAATAAGTATAACATATGCAATGTTTGCAACATATGCAATGTTTGCGTTGTTGACTGAGTAAAAACTATGTTGGCATGTGTTAAGCATATCAGGAAAATATTTTATTGGAGAAAGCTTTTCATCTTCTGCCATCCCTCACCCCCCCACCCCCCCCAGGGATCTATTTGCATCATGCTCTCTTTTTGTTTTTCCTGTTTTCCTGTTACAGGAGAACTACATGATTCTGAAGGACCTGTCGTTTGCATGCAAATATAAAGTAACTGTTTTGCCTGCAAAATCTAAAGGTCGTTTTAAAGCTGAGAGTATTTTCTTTGTCACCCCACCTTGCTCTGCATTTAAAGAAAGAAACCACAAGCACATTAATTGTCCAGCTGAAGGAGGTAAGACGTGATTTGGAGAACTTGCCAAATAGTTTCAAATGTACTTACAGTCACCAAGAAAAGTCTTTAAAGGAAATTCTAAAATAGTATATAAAAGATTCAGAAGAAAAAAAAAAAAAAAGATTAATGCTTATGTGAAAAATCAACTAAATAGCAGTATAAATTTAAGTTGCCACATTCCTGTTTGTCAATTAGGTAAGAATTTTAGTGAACTGGTTACGAACACATGATGGCATTTGTTATCACATAGTTTTTAGTGCAAGGAGGAAGTTTCTCAGTTACATTAACTATAACGATGAATGACAGATGTAAACATAAATATGATGGCATGATCCATCTTTTGAATGTTTTACTACTGATGCAAGCTGCTTTTTCAGTTTGATTTAGTTTAGGTTAATGCTTCTCTTAAATAACAAATAAAGGTGCTCATACCTGGTAGAGTGTGGCTACAATTCAAGGTATAGCTAAAAGATCATGGTAAATCACAGAATCATGGAGATGTTAAAAAAGATCTCTAATCTCAGCTAATCCAGCCATGCACTTCAAGTGGGGCTATAGCCAGCACTAGGTCAGGTCAGCCTTAGCTTTGTGAAGCCAAAGTTTCCAGCATTACAGTTTTCTTCCTGGGCAACTGCATACATTTCAGCTCCTAATAGGAGTGCCTCTATTAAATTGTACTACAGTTTTAGAGCATAAATTTTACTGTTTACCTGCATCATGGATATCTAAGGGTTTTCTTGTGGTCCCAAAACTGAAAAACAGCTCAGATATTCTAAAATACAAAGGACCCACAGGATGGCGAATGATGAATGAGACGTTTATAATTTTGTGTGGCATTGGCTTTCCTTTCTGTCATCTGTAGCTGACATAACTTGATTTGAAGTTTGAATTTGGCCCAAAACACCAGTGGAATATATCAATGATAGTCTTTGGTTAGAACTGAAATGTAATGGCAGAAAGCTGGAAGGATACTGGATAACATTAGAAAGAGAGCTCTGTCTGACCTTGAGTTGCAAAATTAAATTAACATTATTGAATATTATCTTTCAAAGTTTAGCTTATCTTTCTGCTTTCCAAATTTATAGTGCCAGTTCTACCCAAAGTGTTGGCCAAACCCGAGAATCTGTCTGCGTCTTTCATTGTTCAGGAAGGTAACATCACTGGTCATTTTTCCTGGAAGATATCTAAGGCAGTCCTTCAACAGCCCATGACAGGGTTTCAAGTCACATGGGCAGAAGTAACCACAGAAAGTCGACAGAACAGCTTGCCCAACAGCATCATTTCGCAGTCACAGATACTGCCAGCAGTAAGTTGTTTGTTAATTTCTATTGCATTCATAACTGCATGCATACGTGGCATACTTTTAATTTTTAGTGGTAACGCAGATGTCACACATAGCATTCTCTCACTCTGTGGGCAAGTTGGAGCAGGAGGTGCTTTAATTTTTCCTCCTTGTTGGAAATACAAAGCACAGCTACTCTTCTCGATGGCACATCAAACATCTTAATGTGCACAATTGTCAAATTAGCAGCCATTATCTGAGAAATGCCTAAAGGGAGGAAAAGATCATCTGTGTGTGGCAATAGATGGTTTTTATTTTCTTTTGATGATCAGGCTGTTCAGCTTGGTGGTTACTATAGTTTTACTAATTATTTGGTGTCCATGTCCATAAATTTGATGGATTTAACAGATTTTTTTTTTCCCTTTGAGTCACTCTTTGCTCTAAGAGAAGTAAAAATCACTTTCCCCTCTGTGAATATGCGTTATTGTCTAATAGACAAGTAAGTTGAGGAATACTGGATTTCACTGTTTACTGAAAGTATTACAACGGTTAATTTGAATTCTTCCCCCTATTTGCTTTAAGATGGCCTTTGCTATTTCAGTTCCTCTAGCAGAAGCAAGTGAAGAGCACTTATTTCAGACTGTCTTGCCAGATTCACCAGAGTTCATTCAGACTCAGTTGCCAGATCCACCAGAGTCAACAAAAGGACTTAAGTAGCTGGCCTTGATCCAAAGTCTACTAACAATGTTGGGAGTCTTTCCATGCACTTCAGGGACATGGATCAAAGCAACTGTCTCAAGCAGAACAGCCTGAAAATCTTTTCACAACATTTGTTTCATAAAAGAATGCATAAAATGTTTTCTTGGACACATCTTGCATTCAACACATTTTCCACAAGTCCAAGACAAGGTTCCCACAATTTTATCTTAATTCCTAGCAGACTGCCCTAAGGCTATGCCCCCTGTGTTTGAAAGCATGTTTTTCTCAGACAGAGCAACAAAGTTGACCGTGGATGCTCCAGAACTATGAGGCAAGCTACTATGCAGTGTGCAGAGCTGTTTTGTTCCACAGTAGTACAGACTCAGCGGGATCCAGACTAGTTCATTCAAAGCTCAATCTACAGTCCCAAGCGGAAGCACATTGCAGATAGAGCCTTGGTCTCTTCAGTAAGCCACGTTGCAGGATTATTTCGAAGTGGATACTCAATCGCAGACATTTGAATGCAAACAGCCACTTTAGCACAATAAGCAGTTATAGACCATGAGATGTTACTTTTCACTTCAGTTTTCATCTTTTGTTTTAGGACCAGGTGTATGGTTTATACAGTATTCCTATTTCACTTTTTAAGTTTCTAGTTCAGTTATGTCTAATTAAAAATATTTCTTTACCTTGTGTCATTGTGTTATGCTTTTATTATTATTATTATTATTATTATTATTTTATTTTATTTTTCCTCCTATGGTTTCACTACTGTGAAACCTGAAGATTTCTTTAACTGTCTATTACCGTATGTATGTATCCATTCACAGCACCTGGTTAACTTGCACAAAACCCTGGTTTGAGTTGAAATAGTATCACCTGCACTCTGAAACCACCGTAATGTATTGTATTTCATGGTGATGATCATTCACTCACTTTTGTTGGTAATCTCTGCTTGTTAAAAATTTAATATTTACACAACTAGGCTGAAGTGCACATGTCCCAGGAGCATATGAAAGAGAGTGAATGTCTAAGCATGATGTATGCATTTCTCTCTCTTTCCAACCCATTATGTATGTTGCATGTGGTGGAACAGCTTTTGTAAGATGTTTTAAGAGCAGCCTCATCTCAGTATATGCAATAATTTGTCAGTAAAGCTACACTTTTACCCCTGCCTTTTCTCTCTCTCTCATTTTCCCTTTGCTTTCTGGTCTGGCAAGAACAGTAAATAATCAGTTATTCTCACGGGCACTTTCAGCTCCCTGCTGTGTGCTTGGGACAGTGCCTACCAGAAGAGTTTGCTATGAAAATTCTGGCTAATCAGAGGACCACGCTGTGTGCGCGCTGTCCAGTGTCTCTGCCCCACAGTCTTATCCCTGGGACTGGTATGCTGTGTGTTTCTGAGGTCCTTTTTTAGCTTGGAATAAGGTGAATTGTGACTTCCAATTCCTGAATGCCCTTCAGTCAGATGTATTCCTATTTGGGAGCATTTATAAACTTTGAAATTATTTTGCACAGTTTTAAGTGACCACACAAGGTACAGAACAATAAAAAGTGAGGACAATACTGATATTTCACAATCCATCCTGCCAGAAATGTGATTAAGAACAGAAGGGATGATTTTCATGGTGTAACTTTGGACAAACCTGCTGAAATCACTGTAGCCACCCAGATTTCACTATCTGCAGCATGTACCCCAGACCTGAAAATTGCCATGAGTTAATTTATCAATTAGTAGAATTTACAGCCAGATGTAAAATAAAAACAAGTGTATTTAATGAAACTATTAAAAAAAATAAATGCTAAGGAAAAACTTGTACCTCTTACACGTGAAACTGTAACATTAGGGGAACAATGTATGCTCAAAGACAATGGCAAGCAAAAGTTCAAGACAAACCTCCTCAACCAAGTAATTACATATGTTAAATACTTCTTACAGATTTCTAAGAAAGCAATTTGTGGGTGCTAAGAGTGACAGAACCTGTTTAAACCACTGATTTGTGGGAGTAGAGCAACCATGTTTTATTTTTAGATGCCATGAGAACTAATGTAATTTATTTATTGTTAGGATCATTATGTACTCACTGTGCCCAATCTGAGGCCATCGATGCTGTACCGACTGGAAGTTCAAGTGCTGACAACTGGTGGGGAGGGACCAGCTACAATAAAATCATTCCGAACACCTGCTCTTCCTCCATTTTCACCCCACAGTAAGTGGTACCTCATTTTGTCATGTTGTTGTGAGTTAAAAAAAAAAACAAACACAACACTTCAGTCTTACACATGCAAGCAGGTTGCTTGACCCTTAGAATCTTTACTGGCTCTGGTAGAATTCCATAAACATAATGTGCATGGTATTATTATTATTTTTCTCTCTCTCTCTGTCTCTCTGTAAGAGTTTTTCAGCAGTAGTGGAATCAAATATAGTCTTTCTCTCATTCAGTTTTGTGTGGTCTTACATTTGCCACCACATTCTACCACAGGCTTTTACCTGTAAGAGAGGCCACCTTGGGTGGTCTCTCCTCCAAGTACCATCTAGGATTGGGACTGCTTAGCTTTCAAGATTAGACTTTTCTGAGATGCGTTCAGTTGAGTATGGCTATTGTATGACCATATTTCTAAAGCTGTGCAAACCTCTTAATGGCCATTACAAGCATTTGAAAATGCTTGAACTTTTCAAATTCAACAACTTGTGGAAAGACACAACTCAGTGTTGTGAAGCCCAGCAAAAATTACAGTGAATTAGTCCACTAAAGTTGTCTGGACTGAATATGCATGTAGTTGTCAGAACAGGCAGTTCACTTAAAAGCTGAAGGCTTGCAAGCTGGAAGCCTCAAGAGGCCTTTACAGGAGAATCTGGTAAATGATTGTATGATTTAGGGTTTGATATGTGCGTACTTTCTTATTCTTTTGTTTAGGACCTCATCTGAAGCAACATCATCCACACCACTATAAGCCACCCCCAGAGAAATATTAAACTGTTTCAGATGATTATATGAAAAAGTGAGAGGAAAAACTGAGCTCCCAAATGGAGGCTAGGAAAAGGCACATCTGTAGGAGCAATGAATACAGTTTTCCAGTGGAAGTTACCATGCTGTACGATCTGTATCAACTCTATGTAGTTTAGTAATCAAGAATTGTATTTGTACCAAGACAAGGATGAAGCATACAGCAAGTAAAATTTCAGTACCACTACTATTCAACAAATTGAAGATTGCATCAAACTCAACACCTGAGAGAAAATCAAAGTGTGTTTATTATAATGTTTTTGTATTTCTATGTTTGAATTAGATTGAAACAGTGTGGTGTATACAGCTTTTTCTCTTAGTGACTTCAATGTTAATATATAAAAGGTTGTCCTGTGATACATACATACCTTTGAACACTGGAGGCCATGTTGTCATTAACATGTTTAATTGATCTATTTTACTTAAATCCCTCTTACCAGTTCAAGTCCTAGAGTATTTTGCTGTTAAAGGTCTCCACTTGTCTGAAATCAGGACATAAGTAAAATAAGTAGCAGAAACAGAAACTTTAAATAGTCAATGTTTAATAACTGCAGTATCACTGCAGAGGAGAGATATGATACATTTGCATAGTCAACCACCTCTTCCAAAGTAATGTTTCAGTATGGAGATCTTCTATTATTATAGTTAATAGTTAAAATATATACAGGGTAGATGAACTATTCATTATAAAGAAACAGATGACAGTTAGTACAATTGTTGACAATTAATTGTGATTAATACAATTAATTGATAATTGTATTAATTTATAAGAATGACCTTTAAAATCCCACTATCATGTTGATTTTCTAGCTAAAAGTCTGAATAGTTAACATTCACATCTTAAAAATGGAAATTCTGGGGTACATTTATTATTCAAGTAGCTGTAGAGCTACTTTTTTGGCTTCTTTTTCTTTTGATGTATGTCTCTTTTCCCCATGGATCTTTTGAACAGAGGGATGGGTGTGTTAGCTCCATGGTATTCTGCTTACAGAAGAGTTGCATAACAATACTCAAGCATTTTGAAAGCATTGTCTTATAGTTTATTTGAATGCATTTTTCAAATTCAGATAGAAGGGTGCCCTTTTTAACCATAAGGGAATACATACTGCCTTTATTGTACAATATAAACTGTCTAGAATAATTTGCTACACAAAAAGACAACCTTGTTAGTAAACAGAAACTACTTGGATTTATCATCAAGAAGGTGTAAAGTATCTGCCAATAATCTTCTATACAAATACAATCAAAATCTAATGTTCAGACATTAGTGGCATTAGTATTTTCCTTCTCTTGATTACAAATTGGATAAAATAGGGATAAAAGAAATGCATGCCTGAAAATGAGGATCACATTTGTATTTATCATTGTAGGACATTCACAAAATAATCACATATAATTTGTCTCTACTGAAGTTTATAGTTTTGGTGAATGTGGGTTGATAGCACTGAGGGTGAAGGAAACTGAATTAATTTCTGATCCCTTGGTCATTCCAGTTTTTCTATATATCTACCTTTGCTATTAGAGTATTTTTTTTTTTTCCCCCATTCTCTTTCTACTTTGCCGGTTGTCTTTTTTGATGTGCACTCAGTGACAAAGGACTTTTACAGAAAATTTCAATTGCCATGAGATTTGAGCCTTTAACAGTTGTTTAAAAAATATTAAAGGCAATGGTAATTTTAATTCCTTCTTCTGCTGGTCTGTCACCTTATCTTTTCCAAAATACATTAACAAATAACAGATAAACTCTTCTTCATAAAATCTGTAATGTAATATTTATTTCAATTGTGGAAGATGGCCAGAGTTTCAGAGATTTTGGGAATCTGTAAGAATGTGTAATCCATACAAGACTTTACAAAGAAAAAAAATATATATGGTTTGAACTGCAGCACAGTGCAGCACTGCTTTGATGTTTAGGCTATATAAAGTAAGGATAGAAGGTATCTTGTTTTCTGAGAGTAGTTTTCTGTGGGATCAGGGCAAGTACTCAGGCTGCTTTAAAAACTTCTGTTCAAACCTTTATGTTAGAGTCTATTCCAGTTATGCTGGAGCAATTCTGTAGTGACTTGATTAATGTTAATGAAATTATGTAGCATTCATAGTGACATTGGTAAAGCATAGAACATGGATGTCAGTCGTTATTACAATGAGGCCAGACCTAGTTTGGCGATTAAACTGGAAGTTAGCAGCCCTGAGTGACCATATCCTTAGTCTTAATTGTTGAGTGGAAGCCTTGTTCTTTTGCTTGCTTATGTAAATTTATTTGAAACATTCAGTTTTTAAAAGTAGCAGTTAATGTTAAAGAACATGGAGTATGCTTTCCTTCTAAATTAGATTTTGCCCATCCAAAAAAAATAAATATGTATTTGATAAAGTAGAATTGTATTGAGCAAGTGCATTATACAGAGTCTGTTTTACAAAGATGTAAAGTCATTTTTATCCTTCTACAAATGAGTTTATCAACTCACCTTTCAAGTGATCCTCCAAATCAAAAATCAAAAATAATAAATCTACCAAGATCATGTATGGATGTTAAATTTGAAACTATGAGTGCTTTCCCAATTATTCTTTGAATCTAACAGTACCAATTTGAAGTTTCTGGTGTCTAACTCATAAAGCCTTGTTTGCTGAATTGTACAGGGTGTTGTCCTAATTTACTGGCCTAAATCACATTATACATTTAATTCATCAATAGACTTGTAATTCACTGAGTGATTCACTACTTAATGATTTATTTTCTCTAATGATGTTGCATAATACAGAATTAATATAGATATTGGGATGCTTTTAAATACTCTGCACCTTTACACTAATGTATTATTTTATGTGTACGGTTCTGATGGATTTGTCAGTTCACTTCTGGATGCATTATGTTTATCTTTATTTCTGAAAGAATTATGAGATTATGCCATTTTTGCTAGCTGCTTTGTGAAATTGATTTTTTTTTTGTTCACCAATGATTTTTCATGGAATCACATACAATGGTGTGTTCTTGTTGTATCATGGTTTTTAAGTAGTGTATAGAGTAGGGGAAATTCAAATAAGACAAAACTTGTGCTGTATGTAACATCTTGAACATTCATTAAGAATACAGCACATGGACAGTAAATAAGAGGTCTTACTTCTGAAATGCTGCACGTCCTCAACTTAGTGGCTTCAGAAAGAATTAAGGTATGTCAATACTAATAATGATATTGATGTTTGGCATGATCACACATAAAATCAAAGAAATACTCATTGTTAATACGAGTGGGAAATTTACCATTTATATTAGCAGAGGCATATAGAAACCTAAATATGGGGTAAATTCATTCAACAATAATTTAATTTCCATACTCCCTACTGGAGTCAGGGTGAGTTTCAGATAAGCAGGCTCTGATTCAGGAGGGTATGCAGAAAAGAGAACATCTATTCGCACAGAAGTCGGTTGGATGGATGTATACTTTTGCGTGTACAGTAGAGAGTGAGCTTTAGTGATGTCTTAAATAAATTATGGATGTCAGAATTGAATACTCTCTTAAATTAGGGCCTTATGGAATAAAGTATTGGACCCAGACAGTTCTAAATTCTATGTACAACACCATAGAAATTTTTATTTTTGTCTTGTGTATATGTAAATGTAGTTGTGATATTGACTTATTTATTAATTAATTTTCTTATGCTATGTGCCAGGTATATTCCTACCCTTTTGATCAGTACCTGTGAACATCAATTACTAAAAATAATATTATGCAAACTTGTGCATTGTAACCAGGAATATGACACTAATAAGCTGTTGCATGTAGTTTAAAATAATTAAGAAAACCCTCTATTTAAAAAATGTAAATGAATACCTGCAGATGTTGATGATTATATATACTTTTGCATGCCAAAACTCATTGTTCAGTTGTGGGCATGAAATGTAACGACTGTATTACCTCTACTGAGTATATTAGTAAGGTACAATTTACAAAGCTATTAACAGAGCTCTCTATGTAAAATGTTTTCTTTTTACCTAATTATATTGTAGTAGAGTTGTAACAGAACTGTTTATCTGTTACCCAAATTGGCTGTAGAATTTATGTTCATATAACAGTCATTTAAAGTCAGTATTTATTTATGTATGTAATACAAAAAAAAAATAATAATTGGTCTTACGTGTCTGTCCATTTATTTAGAGAATGAAAACAATTTGTATAAACACTTTGTAAAAAAAAAATGTAAATATAAATAGAGCCTGGTTTCTTTTACTCATTATTCTCATGTTTAGAACTTGTATATACTGTTTAGGTAATAAACTGTCCTACACTGAAGTCTTGCTACATTATCTTCTCCATACAGGATTTAAACTTTTTTTTTCTTTTTTTTTTTAAGTGGGAGATAAAGTGTTATTGAATAAAAATCAGAGTACCATTGGTACTCTACATTTCATTGTACATGTAGTCATAACATTTTATCCTTGCTGTTTGCTACTGCATTTTATTTTCTTTAGAAAGTGATCAAAATCATCTGAAGATAAATTTAGGTATCATTTAAGTATTTTATGTTGAAAAGCAACTCTTAAAGTAAAAAATCAGACTCAAGATTTTGTCTTCTTTTCCCTTGTTTCCATGAGATAGTACTCAATGGATTTTTAGTAACCCTTTGTAATACTAATTTCAAATAATTAAAATGTTTCTAGATCTGTGTCAGTGGCCTGATCCTGTAAGTCAAGATTTTTGTGATTGAAAATCATGGTGAAATCTTTGTGTACACCAGATCTGGAATGTTTTATACTTAAAAGTGCAGTATCCCATGATTTAAATGATATATTTTTAATAAATATAAATATCTGTCTTACTACAACGTTTGTTTCAAATTGTCATAGATGTGCTATCATTTTCAAATGCAATGTTTTTGGTAAATCTCTTAGCAGGTGTGCCTCTCACGTACTCTCAAATTACTTAATAACCATTTAGTTTTTGTTAACTTGAGCATAAACTCCAAATTTTCCTAATTACTTTCTCAGTAGAATAATTGTTTAGGATTTTTATTGTTTGTTTTTCATTTTACACAAATGGACAATGTTTAGCATAAACCCTTATAATTAAATTCCTCTCCAAGTTGTATTTCACCAGTGTGGTATGGTAAACCCTTATAGGAGTTATATATCAGTGTGGGTAGGTAAGTTATCATAATAAATAGATGAAGTGTTCTATGCACTGTCATTCTTTTTCTTTTTCCCCTTTCATAACTTCAAATAAATGTTCTATTCAACACTGAATTAGAAAAGATGATGACTGGATTATGTCAATCATATGAAATAAAGCAAATTTGGTATATATTGATCAGTATTGATCATTTTGATTTTGGGTTTTGTACTTTGTACTTCAGTGCAACTTGGCTCTTTTTTTTTTTTTTTTTTAATATATATATATATATATATTAAAAAATCCTCCATACTTCTGTTTTCCTCTGACAGGTGTTGTATTGTCATCATCTGGATGTATGCCAGCCTCCTTGAGAAAGGCCTTGAGCCAAAACACTGGCTGAGCCTGCCAGTGACAATGCAGCATCTGTAAGGATAAAAGCACGGGAGATCATTGAACACACGGTTTTTAAATATATGAGAAAGACTCCTGCAGGCCTGAAGGGATGTGGTTCAACAGAAATGTCTGTTATGTCCCCCTTAAGATTGTGCATAATAGCGTTCCTGCTTCTACTGAAAGTGCTGGTAGCAGTATAGATTAATATTTAATATACACCTTACTATAAGCATTTACTGAGATTGTTTTGTGGGTCAGAAACCAAAGAATTAATGAACGCTTGCTGTACCCAGTTCCTCACCTTTTATGGTGATTTATTCATGTTATTTAATAATAAGCTTCATTCAGGAGGTCTCTTCTTAAAAGGATATCAACTTTGGAATGATCGGACTGCCATTTTTCAGGAGAGTTAGGAAAATGTATTGAACACAAATCTCTTTATGTTTGTGTGCAAATATATTTATACATCAAATAATAGTTCTTGCTTGTCTTTTTCACAAGCTGTCCAGTAGTATATTTGTAATTGGTTCAAAATTGGCTAACTCTCTATTTGATGGTTAGAACTGATTAGCCAGCACATTTCTCATACTTTTATAATTTTATTTTGAAAATGTTACCTGATTTAAGTGGTTCAGGCTGCGTAGTTGTTATTAGTTGTAGAGTGATAAGCTGTAATTTCCACCCTGCCATTTCTAAGTGGAAGGTAGGGGAATGAATAGACTTCACCCCACCACAAACACACACAAAAAAGTAAAGGACATACACACGTCTTATGTATTCATCCAATTTCCAGTGTTAGTAGTTGTCTGCAAACATACAAATTAACCTTTTAAATTTCTTTTTTGAGCTGTGCTGTAATGTTTATTTATATTTCAGACTTTCAGTAAGCATATCTGCAAGCCAACATCAATTAGTCTCATAAGAAGACTATGTACAAGAAAAACAAAAAAGCAAAACTTGAAACAAAAACAACCAAAAAAAAAAAACATAAGCCAAAACTTGCTATTGGATTCTGAGAGAGCCCTTTGGGGCAGCTGTGCCTTTTTTGTGATATTCATTGAATCATAATGAAGACCATGAAGAGTCACACACATTCTTCTTGCTTTGAGTGGATTGCAGACATTTTTTCTAATACCTCTTATCACAAAGAATCTGATTAAATAGCTTCATTAGTGGATGAGTTATCAGACGTATACAGTAACTTAAAGCTATTATGATGCACCAGTGAATGATTCCTGCTTTTTTTTTTTTTTTCTCATTTATTTGAAGATTGTATTAAATTCGTATTTTTGTCTCGACATCTTCTATTTTGTTCTGTTTTATTTTATAATGGATCACTATTCATTGCTTTTTTTTATATGTATGTTCAGTTTGAGAACTTGCCTCATTTATTTATCATGGACATACAAGATGTATTCATAGGTTCTTTCTTGTCACCAGTCATTGCTGTGAAGATTGAGATTGGTGGTATCTTTACAATAAATAAAGTCACTGAAATAATGTGTTTATGCATTTAGAGCTGATTTCAATAAAGTGTCCCTTGTGAACAAAATAATATTACTTTTAGATATGTAAAATATCTGTGGTTGTATCTTGTTGAAATTACTATCTACATAATATAGTTTTGGACAACGTGTATTTCAGGAAACCTCAGTGTATTTAAATAACAGGCATGCCAACTACAGGAAATTGTAGCAAGCACACAGGAGTATATCAAACTGATAGGTATCACTCATATTTGTAGATTAATAAATGCTGCTAAGACAATAAATTGTTTTCAGGTTAGCTAAATATATTACTTAGTCTGAGCACAGATTCCCATTCACTGACAGAACAGGAGATGTGGATGAATACCGGGGGTTTGGAGAGAGATGTAGAAGGAACAGCATTAACTTCTGTAATTGGATAATATCAAAATTATACACAATTTAAATTATGTTTTCTTCGCTGTCGCTAACAGAGGGTACTTGATACCATAAGGTGATCCCACATGTTCTTTTCAGGTGATTTTGTAAATTTTGTAAGTAGCTTCATAACATAAGTAGAACTAACAACAAGAAACAAATCATTTTATTTATGTAAATGTAATTGAAAAAGTATTATTTACCTAATATCATGCTCAGAATCACTTACCAACACACTTGCATAGAACAATATGGTTCAACTGGGTGAACACTTCAGTTTGGGGTTCTCTCACTTCCTGAAATTCAACCTTTGACTGAAAAAGTCTTCCTAATTAAAAAAAAACATATATATATTTATTGGGACACAATGAATAATATATCATCAAAGATAGAGATTGTACATCCTCTCTTACTAATTACTTTTGAAACAACAATAAGGCAAATAGTGACATCTTAACTTTCAAGGAAATTGCATGTGGAAAAACACATGGCATAAACAATTTTGATTGCATCAAATTACCAAAAAATTGCAAAATATTCCCTTGAGGGAATATAGGTTCTTTTATTCTCAGTAGATTTGGGAGGAAACTCTTCTTACACTGCCCCTGGGAAACTGAAAGACTGCAGAAAATGAAACCAGCTTCTCAATGTACCTTTATGTTGTCAGACATTACTTACCTCACAAGACTTTGTACTAGTTGCGTAGCTTGTAAAATTGAATGAGTTGGGATTTCAAGTGGTAATTTACCTTACTAACGTTAAACAAATAGTTATTGACAATAGCTGTGGCCCATGTGTCGATTCTTTTGAATGCTGTGGGTTGTTGCCTTGAATTTTCCCTGGTCAGATAATGTTTCACCCCGAGCAGGGTACAAGTTTTTTGGGAAACCACCAAGGGCTCTGGGAGAGCTGAGCTGAGCTGAGCTGAGCTGAGCAGGCCAGATGCTGTGGCAAAGGACAGCTGTTACCTGACCAGCTGCTGCTGGTGCTGCAACCCCTGTGCTTGGGGTTGGCAGAGGTAGAGGGCGCAGCAGCCTGGGGAAAATAAAAACGTGCCTTCAATGGAAATACTTCTAATGGAAAAGGCTTCTCATCCCATCATATAAGTGTATGGTGAGCAGGAAAGAAAGGATTCAGCACTTAAGTGCTCATTGATTCTGGGTGGACCTGGGGTCCTTGGGTCCCTGAGCTGGAAGAGAGGGTGTGTAAATGACTTCACAAGTGCAGCCTGGACAAAATAAGGAACAAATGAGTCAGGGTGAGCCATGCTAGTCAGGGGGTGATACCCCTGCTGTTGAAGCAAAAGGTCCTGAGCTCCTGTGTCCACAGAAAGGGGAAAGAGGAACACCTCACACCTCCAGTATTCTACCTTTCTGATGGGAACAGGTGAGGGTGGACTAGCTGCAAAAAAATCTGTCTGAAAGGGCCTCGTGCTGCAATCCACATAGACTTCCACTGAACTTTGGCTTGTGGAAGACTTGTAGAAATACCTTGCTTTGCTTTATTAGCCCAGACATCTACTGATGCAGAATAGAAACCTGGGACCTCAGTGAGAAGCATCACTGTAGCTGGGGTACCATCTGGGACCAACACCGCCTGCTGCTCTGACAGGGTTTAGTGTCTACTTCTGGTACTTATTTCAGAGGGAGCTCAGCTCCTCCAAGATGAAGAGGATCCATGGAATCATAGAATCATGGAGTGGATTGGGTTGGAAGGGACCCCAAAACCATCCAGTTCCAACCCCCCTGCCGTGGGCAGGGACACCTTCCACTAAATCAGGTTGTTCAAAGTGCTTTGAACACTTCCAGTGGTGGGACATTCACAGCTTCTCTGGGAAACCTGTCCCAGTGCCTCACCTCAGAGTAATGAATTTCTTCTTTATATCTAATCTAAATCTCCCCTCTATTACTTTAAAGTCATTACACCTTGTCCTATCACTATGCTCCCTGACAAAGAGTCCCTCCCCAGCTTTCCTGTAGGTCCCCTTTAGGTATTGGAAGGTTGCTATAAGGTCTCCTTGGAGCCCTGCCTTCTCCAGGCTGAACAACCCCAGCCCCCTCAGCCTGTCTTCATAGGAGAGATGCTCCAGCCCTCTGATCATCCTCATGGCCCTCCTCTAGACTCACTCTAACAGGTCCATGTCTTCCCACTGCTGGGAGCCCCAGAGCTGAATGTGGTACTCCCTCTGGGGTCTCACAAGAGCAGAGCAAAGGGGGAGAATCACCTCCCTTGACCTGCTGGCCATGCTTCTTTTGATGTAGCCTAGGATACACTTGGCTTTGTGGGTTGCAAGTGCACATTGTGAGCTCATGGTGAGTTTCTCATAAACCAGCATCCCTAGGTCCTTCTCACCAGGGCTGCTGTCAGTGAAGAATTGTCTAAACAAAGCTTTGAGACATGGGGTTTGGGCTTGGATGAGAGGACACCCCTGTGTTCCACTAATCTTCACTCTTCAACCACTATGGTGAACATATGCACTACTGTCCCTTCTCCTGGGTTACCATACACTTGGGGAAATACACACTGACATGTGTATTAAGTAATTAAGTATTCCCCTGTAGGTGGTCCTTACATGGTCCTTTCCCTGCAGGTTTGTAGTCTACTTCACCTTTGATGGTCACCAACATATCATCTAGGGATAGTTCTGTGAGTTTCATCACTGTCAGATACTGTTGCTGAAAGGAGAGGGACTGTCAGATCAAAAGAACTGAATAAATGAAGGTCCCACAAGCTGGAAAGGGCAAATACTGTCACTGCATGCAGAGGCTGTAGCTTTTCAACTGGCTAGAGGTGAGTACCTCAAGCAGTATTCACTGCATGATTTTTCAGCAGTGACTGCAAATAAGCGGGATACACTTGTATGCATTATGAGGGCATCTGCTGTAATGAG